TAATTGAAGTTCAAAGAGGCTAGGTGATTTGTCTAAGGTCTGATGGTGACTTATAGGTAGAATTAAACTAGAAACTGGGTCTCCTGTCTGGTATTCATTTCAGTCTTACTTTCATTATAATGCTGCATAGCTAGTGGGCTATATTTTCTCAGATAGAGTGAAAACCCAGATATCCTTATAGGATACCCTAATAAGGTTGGGAATCTTTTATTGCAACACAGGTGACACAAAGAAGACTAAATATGAAACAAAGCTGTAAAGATAGATTGAGGCAGAATTGTGAAGGACTTTAAATATCAGAAGAATTTATAGTCCATACTAGAGGGAGCCAGAGTGTTAACTAAGTAGGGAAGTAACAAAGTCAGACTTGCACTTTAGGAAACTTCACTCTTACAGTTGCTATGTGGAGGCTGGGTTGGAATGAGGAGAGCAGTGAAACAGAGAGGTCAATAAGAAAATTATTCCTCTTTTTAAAATTAATTTATTTTTAGTTTTCAACAATCACTCCCATACACTTTTGAGGTTTAAATTTTTCTCCCCCTCCCTCCCCACCTCCCTCCCCCAATCTGATATAGGCTCTACATACACATTCCTATTAAACATATTTTCACATTAGTCATGTTGTAAGGAAGAATTAGAACCAACAGGAAGAACCACAAGAAAGAAAAAATAAAAGAGAAGGAAAAAAAGAGCAAATAGTATGTTTTGATCTGCATTCAAACTCCATAGTTCTTTCCCGAGACGTGGATAGCATTTTCCATCTTGGGACTTCTGGAGATGTCTTAGATCCTTGCATTGCTCAGAAGGGCTAAGTCTATCAAAGTTAGTTATCACACAAGGCAGCTGTTACTGTGTACAACATTCTCCTGGTTCTGCTCACCTCATTCAGCATCAGTCTTTCCAGGTTGAAAATGATTCCTATTGTCCAGCCCAGAAATGGTAAAGAAATGATAACATCCTGAACTAGAATGGTAAGCATGTGAACGGAGAATGGGGTTGCATATAACCAGGTAAAAAGATGTAAAGATTAGAAATGACAACTGATTGTATAAATGGGGTGGGTGACAGTAGAATAAAGGATGACATAGGTTGCAAACCTGGGTAGTGCCTTCTACCACCTCTTGTGGTGCCTTCTACAGGAAAGGTGAAGTTCAGAGGGGGAATGAGTTTGAGTGGAAAGACAATGAGTTCTGTTTTGGATGAATAATAGGTGAAGAAAGGCTATGCATACAGTGGTTGGGGAGAAGGCTGTGGAGGAAGTGGCCAGAAAAGAGGGAGTGGCTGGGGCTTTTCTGAAATAATGTTCCAGGAGAAGCAGTCACCAATCAGAAGAGGGCCTCAGGAGGACTTTCCTGAAGGGCTTGGAATCTGACAGGGGCAAAGTGATTGATTAGGAGACTGAGGTAGCCCTGGAGAATAATAATAATAACATGGTTAGTTAATACCTAAGAGGCTAGGTTTGCAAAGCACTTTACAAATACTACCTCATGTAGCAAAGAATGGGAATCTGAGGGGGTATCCATAAACTGGAGAATGAATAAGTTATGGTATATAAATGATGGAATACTATTGTGTTGAACTCTAAACAACCAGGACTAATGAAGAAACATGCTACATGCATGCCCCAAAATATTCAAAAATTGATACAAGATGATTTTGGAGGGATGAATGGCAATGGAAGCTGGGTGATCAGAAAGGCCTTATGTAGATGGTGGTGATAGACCTGAATCTGAAAGATTAAAGACTTTAGACTCTCCGAGCTCCGGCCCCGAAACTGGCAACATGGCTAAATGTACCAAGAAGGCTGGAATTGTTAATAAATATGGAACATGTTATGGTGCATCCCTCAGAAAAATGGTGAAGAAAATTGAAATTAGCCAGCATGCCAAGTATACCTGCTGCTTCTGTGGCAAGACCAAAATAAAGAGATGGGTTGTGGGTATCTGACATTGTGGATCCTGTATGAAGACAGTAGCTGGTGGTGCATGGACCTACAATACCACCTCTGCAGTCACAGTCAAATCTGTCATCACAAGACTGAAGGAATTAAAAGACTAGTAATATCTTCTTATCAAATATCTGTAGCCCATAGTCCAATAATAACTGGGTTAATTTATGGAATAAAAAAAAAGATTAAAGACTTTAAGAGATGGTGCTAAGGAAGGAATAATAATAACAATAGTAGTTAATAATAATAATGATAGGTAATAGCGCTTACTATGTGTCTCCTGATAAAGAGGTAAAGGACTCAGAATGTAGAATGAAGCAAAAATTTTTGACATGGCCAATATAAAAATTCATTTTAATTACATGGCTAATGTAGAAATTCATTTTGATCAACTATACATGTTTGTAATGAGTTTTGTTTTTCTTGTGTTCTCAATTACAGGAGTTGGAATGGAAGAGTAAGGAGGATATTGGCTGATTAAAACAAAATATATTTTTAAAAATATATCTCATTTTGTTCTCACAAACAATCCAGGGAGATAGGTGCTATTATCCACGTTTTGCAAATGGAGAAACAAAAGCAAAGAGTTGTTAAGTGAGTTTACCCAGGGTCATACAACTAGTACCAGTCTGAGGGAGAATTTAAAGTCAAGTCTAACTCCAGGTCCACCTAGTTGCACTCATAGAATGAGCTAAGTTTGAGGTGTGACACAGACCCTGTTCCATGAACAAGACATTCCAACTCTAGCTCCAGGCATTATCTCTGACTGTCTCCCAGGCCAGGAACACTCTTTCTCCCTCCTCCATTCTTGTTATTCCAGCTACTGACCCCCCTGACTTCCTTTAAGTTCCAAGTAAAATCCCACTTTCTATAAGAAGCCTGCCCCAACCTCCTCTTACTCCAGTATTTCCAAGAGAAAATACTGAACTAATAAATATCTCCTAATATTTACTAGTTTTTAATAGTAACCTGGAAGAAGCATAGTAATAGTTGTGTTGGTCATAATCCAATTAACAAAAATGAGTTTATTAGACACCTCTAAATGCCAAGCATTCCCCTCGGTACTTTGTATCCTACACAAAGAGAAGAGTGAAAGTCCGTAACCTCATTTTATTCTGATTATTTACTTATCACATCTCTAAATGAAATATTTGCAACCTAAGAGTCTGTTAACTGTATCAAGATGAAACACAAAAGAAACAAGTAGGTTGCGCTAAGAGGTACAGGAATTAATGAGGCTTATCAGTTTAAAGTAGTAAAAGGCTAAAATTCTGTAATCTAGTAGTTTAGTTAAAGCCTTTTGTAAATCTTAAAGCTTATGCAGCGGTCAGTTTTATTATTTCATGTAACAAGGAAGTTGCCCTATAAAGTGTTAAATATAAAAATATACAACTTAGCCACATAAATACATAAATATCAACTGTCATTATTATTCTAAGGAACAAATCACTTGCCTTCAATATTAAAGTGTTAAGTATGAACCAGACACAAAGTAGAAGTAGTTTGGGGTCCTCTTTACTTATTCTAAAGCCAAAAGCTAAATTCTACATCAGTACACATACAGGTCAGACAGGACTGAAAAAACAATTGAATAATAACAAAAAACACATAAAGGAATGTAAGTGTGCTGCTTTCATACTTAAAAAGATTTCATCAGATGCAGAACATCTTATAAAGATGGCCTCAGATGCAGAACATAACCTTGAGAGCTGCAGCCAACAACAAAAACAATCATCACCTAGTAGGTAACTTGATGGGCAGTACAAGTACAGCTTTGTTATACTGGCATAATTTCTTCATACTCCATTTCTCACAATCAATCCACAAGCATACATACATTAAATGAGAAGACCCATGTAAAGCACTTTGCAAGCCTTAAAGTGTTAAATAAATGTTAGCTGTTATGAGTAAGTACCTAATTGTGCAGAGCCCTCACACAAAAAAGAGAGTGACGTGTCACTTTTCAGAAACACCAGTGCTTGGGATACTTTGTTTTCGTTGGAAAGACCAGTGCCTGGGAAACTTTGTTTTTGGAAAGTAACAGTAACTTCCAAGAAGGTGAGGCCTATTCTCAGACAAAACAAAAGACCGATAATGAAACATTAAATCCGCCGGCGGCTGCCTCTCAACAAGGGAGGAATGGGATGGGGGAGGGGAGTCGGGGTGTAGGTATGTAGAATTTCTCTTTGGGCCGCCCCCGACAACGAGCTGGCCCTGCTCCCCCAGAGCCTCCATTTCCTAGGCCTCAGGCCTAGATCAGGCCTAACACAGCAGCCACACCTAAGTGACAGAGGCCGCGCCAGATGCCCTAGGCACTGTTAGATCCCCTAGGCACTGTTAGATCCCCAGGCCCTGCGGGCCGATAGAGCCCCGGGACGCGGAAAGGGGAAGCGGCGTACAGTATTCTCTCTCTCCTCTGTTCTCTAAGCAGGCCACAGAGTGGCAGCGGCGTTAGGAAGAAAGGCAGCCGGCCCGTGAGACCTACTACGGTAACGGGAGAGGGGGAGGGATGTGCGTTGGGGGGGGCATCGGCAGCGGCCATGCCCCTCCTCTCCGCCTTCTTCTCCAGCTCAGCCGCAGCCTCAAGCGGCACGTGACACGGCCCACTCTCATCTCCACCCGGAGATATCCCTGCGCCGTCTCTACCTCAGCGGAGGGGGCAACCACTTTCTCTTTCCTCCTCTTCTCCGCCCGCCCTCCCTCCCTCCCTCCCTCCCCCCTCCACCAAGGGTGACAGAGCCGCCATGGCCGCCATGTCAATGTCCCACCTCCTCTATCCCCGCCGCAAGAGAGGCCCCGCCCTTAGGGGATGATTGGCAGGGAGATTTCCCCAATGGTCAACACTCTCAGCAGGACCCTCCCGCCCGCCCGGGCCTCTTCCCAGCGGGGCCCGGGGCCGGGCTTATGTGTGTGCGCGTATGTGTGTGTGTGCGCGCGCGCGTGTGTACATGCATGTGTGCCTGCGCAGCGGCGGGGCGGAGGCGCCAGAGCGAGGGCCGCGCGCGGAAGAATCCTTTCTCACCTCACCCCACCCCCACCCCTCCTCCCTGAGTCCGGGGGAAAGGCATTTCGGCCGGCGCCGTCGCCATTTTGTCGAGCTGCCTATCTCGGGCGCCGCCATGTTGGTGAGAAGAAATCACCGCCACGGCCACTATTCAAATCCCCGTGTTCCTCCACGCCACCCGCTCGCTCCCAAGCCTCGGCCAGCAGCGGCGGATAGAGACTAAAGCAGCAGCGCCAGCAGCGCCCGGCAGCGAGGGGGGCCATTGCCCTGTGTTTGCAGTTAGAGCCCCATCTTTCTGCTGTGATTGTTAATAGACTGGAAAAGTCTCTGTGTCTCTCTGTGTCGCTCACTAAGTAACCGTGAGTTTTTACCAATTCATCATCTCTCACCACCGAGTCCCAGCGGCGGCCGAGAGCAGGTGGTGATCACCGAGTCCAAGTGTGTGTGTCTCTCTCTGTCAGGCAGCAGCAGCAGCAGGGCGTGTGCGCGCTAGGGTCTCTGGTCGGTGGCCACAGGGCAGTTTCCTCCTCGCCACCTCCTGCTGCTCGTCCCTCCACCACCACCACCACCATCACCACCTCCTCCACCACCTCCTCCACCAGCCTCATGGCCTTTGAGAGCCTTTTCTCCAAACCCCCCAACCCCGTTCTTGACAAAAACATGACAGACTCTGAACATGCAGGGGACGAAAGGTCGAGTAACCCTAATTCTTCTCTCTCTTTCTTTCTCTCTCTCTTTCTGTCCGATAATAATAATAATGTGTCTGTGGTTCAATAATAATAGTCCTCATCCTCATGTGCCTGGTACTGGAATGTTTGCTGCGTTTTCTTCAGCCTGTGTGGGGTGGGGGTGGGGGAAGTAGTTGGAGGGTGAGGGGGTAAACAAACAAAAAGAATCACCTTCATCTTCGGTGTGTAAAACGGGGGTGGTTTTGGATTGGTGTGGGGCGGGGAGCTGGGAACGATTGCAGTTACATTTTGCATGATTTAAACATTTTTTTGTTTTGTTCCATCAATTCCATTTACGTGCACTGCTCTCCTCTCCCTCACCCCCCCCATTAAGCCTTCCAGATAATTCCACCGTCATTGCAAACTTCGTTTGGTGGTACTAGAGAAAGGTTTGTTTCAGGTTTTTTCCTCCCTACCTCTCAACTAGGTTTCGTGTTCTATATTTAACCTGATGATTTTCTCATCGGATTTGCAGCCTTCTGATTTCACGAGATCATTTTTATGCAGATTAGGGTCTGACTGACGTTTTGCTTTGCCACCCCACCCCCCCATCCCCCAGTCCCCACACGCACACCCCAGTCATCATTTCCCTGGTTAGATGACAAGCACTTTTGTGTGTCTCCCTCTTCTGAGCACTCTTTTTCTTACATGAAGCGATTGCAGCTTCCAATTCCCTCCTCCGTTAGCTGTGGCCCTGCCCTAAAGCTTAAAAAAAAAAAAAACACCTCAAAAGTTAAGTGATTAGATGCTCAATTTCAAATATACCATTTAATATATAATGGTTTTTACATATTTCTTATGGCATCAGGACTCCTACAAAAGTACACTGAAGTTTTGCTTTTAGGAAGTTTTAAATCACCACCACCACCAGCAGCAACCAAAATTTCCATAGTGTTAGGTTTTCTTCTAAACCTGGTTGAGACTAGCAAGCCTGCATAGTTAGCAAAACCAGGGAACACTGCAAAATGATAAGGCCATAGCACTTTCCTTCCAAAATCTCAAAGTTAGCCGTTCGTGGATTATGAATTTATTTTGGCTTCTTTGATTTTGTGAATATTTCACTTTTAACATTTCCCTCAAAGTAAGTTACTCTTAAGTACTAATTTATAAGTGTGTCTTTTCCTTTTTAAGGCTGCAGACTTCAGTTGTAATAAAATCCTCACATTTAGATAAAATGGCAGCATAGTTTAGTTACTTCTGAAAGATTTAGGTGTTACAGTGACATTAGAGCAAAATGTCATATGTAATTATGATTTATAACAGTCATTTCAAAATCCAAAATAAGAAAATTATTCTGCACTAAATAGAAGCAGTTGAAAGCACCCTTATACACCTTGGAACCCTAGCTTCAGTTTCTAGCTACCCCTAGAATGCTTCTAACATATTTGTAAATTGCCAAAGTTTGACAACTTGCTACAATCATAACCAAAGCAGAAATAATAAACTAGTTTGCAAAATTTGTATTTAAATATTTGATTATCTTGAAAAAGAACTGAGTTGTATCAACAACTTTTTTTCATCTAATAAATGTAAATGCACAAATCCCCAAAAGTCAATTCAATAAAATGAAAGCAGTGGCCTTCCCCTCCACCCAAAAAAAGAAAAACACTCTTAACCAAAGGCTAAAATCATGAATACATGAATTTTTTTCATATCTTTTTGCTGGGGGTGTTAGGAATTTTCTTTTAATTAAAGGCCTCTTGACAATTGCAAAAACAAGTATGTTGGTTTTTTAAGTAAAAATCTAATGCGTTTAGATGGTAATCTCCAATAACAATCCCAAAGGAAATTTACAAAGTTAAATTTCTGTCTTTATAAGCTATTCTAGAAATAATATTTTAGAATCAAAATAGATTAGGTAACTAATGTCTAAAGAAGAATTCTCCACACTGACATTTATCTTGTTTAGACAGATTAGTTTTCATTCTTTAGTCAGAAGGAATTCAGTACTTAAGTAAAGTTATAATACTAAACTTTAACAATGTAGACTCCAGACTTAAAGATTTCTAGAGATATATTGAGAAATTTGCATTTGGACATCAAAATATTTTTACTATGGAAAACCAAAATCGATGCTAGTGAGAGCTGGTAAATTGGGAAATTAAAGTTAAAAATCAAAATTTCATTTAAAAAATTTTTAGTTGTCTTTGTCCCTAGCAACATAAATAATATATCATGTTTTGTCCTTCAGACCTAAGAAAACAAGATTGTTTACCTATTTCTGGAAAATGATTAGGTAGTTATTAGTGTAAGATGGTAGTTTTATTCTGAAACATTTTTTTTTACACTATATAATTTAGTTTCAGCTTATGTCTAGATCATAGCAGAAAGAATCCTGCAGTAGGTTATAATCTGGAGGCCTGGTCCTGGTTCTGCTACTTTCCAGCCAGTGAACTTCCCCTATCTCTTAAACCCCCTTGTGCAAGTCTTTTAACTTCTCTGGGCCTCAACTGTTTCATCTGAACTAGGTTGAAATAGGTGATCTCAAAGACCCCAAATAGCTCTGACATTCTGATTTTATCCTATATTCATTTAAAATCAAGGATCTGTATAATTAATAATCTATAGTCTTAGGTAGTTGCTTGAGGTTCACAGAGGTCAAATGACTTGCCAATAATCACATAAGGAATAAACATAATGGGTGGGACTTGAATCCAGGTCTTGATTCTAAGGCCCACATTGAATTCACTGCCTCTCTATTCCCAAACCATGATGGTAAAAAGTCAGTGGAAATGGAAGAGGTATAAGAACTGTGGTATTTGGAATTCAGCAAAGAAATTCTGGATTATTTTTTCGAATATTCTGTAAAGAAATCTTTAGTTATCAATTATCAGTGGTGTAAAAAATTTTTAATAACATTTTTTAACTTAGAGCACTAAAATGTAAGTTCAGTGAATGAATAAATTCTCTTTACAATTTTTTGAAAGTCAGTGTGTAAAACATGCTGTATTTTAAAAAAAAAATACATTTTTGTGATTACTATATAAAATATCATCCTAAATGCAAATGGAAAAATTTTAAAGTACAAAAGTTTACTTTTATCTTAAACCAAATATGTTTCGTTTTAGCTTAAAATCTTTTAAGTTGGAAGGATTTTCTCCTTAAAGATAGTAATTTTTCAGATGAAATAAGCACAAGGAGTTTCAGTTTTAAAAAGGTTTTTAATGATATTTATTTGAAATGTTTTATCTTATTTTTATTTATTTTTTTTTTGGTGAGGCGATTGGGGTTAAATGACTTGCTCAGAGTCACAGCTAGTGAGTCTGAGGCTGGATTTGAGCTCAGGTTCTCCTGACTCCAGGGCCAGTGCTCTATCCACTGCACCACCTAGCTGCTCTCTTATTTTTATTTTGATATATTTTTGTTTTCATATTACATTCACTTCCAAATATATTCCCCTCTCTTCTTCCCAGTAAGCCATCTGTTATAACAAAGATTTTTAAAAGAAAGGGAAAATAAAGCAATTCAGGAAAACTAACACATTGAGTATATCTGACGATGTAAGCAATATTCCACATCTTTAGTCCCCCAGCTCTGTGATGAAAAGTTAGAGGTCTGTTTTCTCTTGAGCTAAACTTAGTCATTATGATTGCACAGCTTTCATTTTTCCCCAGTGATATTTCCATAACATGTAAATGTGATGCACATTTACTATAAGTCTGATAGGTATACTTTATATATTTGTGAAATGTAATATATTTGAAAATGATGTGAGACCTAGAGGAATAGGTAACAGTGGTTATTAGAATCCTAAAAAGATCTTAACAAGCTGTGACATTTGAGCTAAATCTTAAGATGAAATTTGATAGGGATTGAAATAAAGCCTTAGATCTAAAAATTTTACTTCCCAAATACAAGATCAGTTAGATAGCAGTTTATCTGAAAAAGATCTGGGAGGTTTAGTGGAATGCCAGCTCAATATGAGTCAACAGTATGGTATAGTAGCAAAAAAAAAAAAAAGCTAATGATGTCTTGGGGCTGTGTAGAGAAGCAGAATGGTAATGAACAATCAAGCATTTATTAAGCACCTTCTATGTTCCAGGCACTCCTGGGAGCTGGGAACATAAAAAGAAAGAAAGATGCAATCTCTGTCTTGAAGAAGCTTACATTCCATCAGGAGAGACAACATATAAGTCTAACCAAATAAATATAAGATAATTAGAGAGGACACTAATTAGAAAAATCTTCTTGTAGAGAATACTTGAGCTTTATCTTGAAGGAAGAAAAGGATTCTCTGTGGTAGAATTAAGTAAGAACACCATGTATTTCTGGCATGGAGATGGGATATAGAGTACTATAGATGTGAAACAAAAGACTAGTTGGGCTGGACCCCTAGAGTGAGTGAAGAGGAGTGAGGTATAATGAGGCTGGAAAGATAATTTGGGGCCTTGGAGCTTTAAAAGCCAGCAGAGTTTATATTCTAACCTAGAGGCACTAGTGAGACACTGAAGTTTATTGAGTATGATAGGGACATAGATAGGTGTTTAAAAAAACTATTTGATTTCTGTATAGAAAATGGACTTGGGGAGGGGGGAGTCCAGGTAACTTAATTAGAGAACTCCCTAATAGCTCTCTACTGCAGTAGCCCAGGCAAGCAAGTGATGAGAATGTGCACTGAAGTGGTAGCTGATCAAGAAGGGGTCAGCTGCAAAAGATATATGAAGGTAGAAACAACAAGATAATGCAACGGATTTTATACGTGTGGTGAGGAAAAGGGGAGTCAAGAATAATATTGAGAAGACTGAAATAACTAGGGACTTTTGATAGAAATAGGGACATTGGGAAGAGGGGTAGGTTTTGGAGGAAAGATAATGAGTTCTTTTTCGGATATGTCGAATCTGAAATGACTTGCTGTACTTTGTTCTGGAGTAATCTGCCTAGTTCTGGGCACTATAGTTTGGGAAGGGCATAGATAAGCTGGAGACTGTCCAGAAAAGGATGCCCAGAATAGAGAAGGGTCTAGA